ACAGAAGTGACAGAGGGCTGTAGAAGGGATAGAAAAAGCTACTGAAGATGTTACTCCCATTATCCTGGATTTCCTGTGATAATCAAGGCTTCCTTGATTCCTCACAATGACCTGCGGCAGCTAAGGGAAACAGCGATGCCCCTCCCCACCGTAAGCCACACACAGCCTCCTGCCAACAGCAGAGCAAGAGCCCACTGTGGTTCCATCTCTTCATTCCTTTGGTCCCGGAGGGCTGAATCCTCAGGGAGCACAGAGGCTGCCGTGGGGGCGGGGTGGTGGATGTGCACGTGAGCATTTGAGAACCACTCTTCCTCTCATCGCAGGTGTCACCGGAAGCCCGGGCCTTCTCTCGTGCCTGTGGGTGCCGAGGTCATGGGCTGGCAGGATGAGGTCTATGTGGGTGTCACCCTCCTGGAGACAGCGCCACACCCAGCTGCTCTTGAGCTCAAGGACGAGTGTGTCCCCAGGACCCTTTCAGCCCCACTTCTCAGCCCATCTCCCGGAAGTCTTGGTCCTTCTGCCCTGGGCTCATTTGTTTGTGAGACTTGGCAGGAGTAATTTCTCTCTTCCGTTGTGCTGTAATTTACATACAGCAAAAGGCAGAGGTCTTAAAAGGCTAGAGCTTGACGAGTTTTGACAAATGGATTCATCTGCGTCACCCGCACTTCTCTTAGGATACAGAAGATTTCCATCACTTCAAAGCCCTCATGTCCTCTGGGGCCGACACCTTCCCAGCCCAGGCGCAGCCAATCTGCTTTTCTCTGTAGATGAGCTTCGCCTCTCCTCTAACTTCATAAATGCATTTCCCTGATGACTAATAATGTTGAGCTTCTTTTCATCTTATTGGTTATTTATACATCTTTTTGTGAAGTGTTTGAGTCAAGTCTGCTCTTTCCTTCAAGACTTTTGTTACTGAGTTGTAGGAATTCTTTGTATATTCTGGATACAAGTTCTTTGTCAATAGTATGTGTTACAGATGTTTTCCCTCAATCTCTGGTTTGCCTATTCATTTTCTAAATGCCGTATTTCAAAAAGCAGAAATTTTCATTATGAAGAAACTCCATTTTATCATTTTTCTGTATTAATGCTATGCCCCAAGACATCTTTGCCTACCTGGGGTTACAGAGATCGTCCCGTTTTCTTTTTTAAGCTTTATAGTAAGTTTCTGGCTTTTGTAGTTAAGTCTATGCATCAACTTGAATTAATTTTGTATGAAGTAAGGGTTGTGATTTTTGTCTTTTTTTTTTTTTCCGGTACCAGGAATTGAATTTATGACCTTGTGCTTGCCAGGCAGGTGCTGTGCCGCTGAGCTAAATCTCCAGCCCCTTGTCTTCATTTTTTATACAGATAGTCACTAAGTCACTATCATTTGTCAAAGACTTTCCTTCCTCAACTGAATGGCTTTGACACCCTTGTTATTATTAATAAAGTGCTCACATCCGTCAGTAGAGGAGGAAATCAGTTCCAGAGCCCCCTTCAGATACCAAAATTCATGGATGTTCAAGTCCTTATATAAAATATGTAGGATTTGCATAGAACCTGGACACATTCTCCCATATATATATTTAGGTCTATATATATATGTTTAGATATATCAAGTCATTTCTAGATAGAAGCACTATGGAAATAGTTGCTATACTGTGTTGTTTAGGGAATAATGACAAAGAAAAGAGTCTGTATATGTTCAGTACAGGCAATTTTTTTTAAAAGAATATTTTCAGTCTTTGGTAGGTTGAATCTGACAATGCAGAACTCGTGGATTCAGAAGAAGACACTGCATCCTGAAGTCCTCTTGTTCAGGATAGAAGGAAGAACACCGCAGCTAGCAGTCCGTGACCTGCACACACCATGTGCCTGAGTCCTTTCATGACTTCTTGAGGCTGGCATGCAGCACAGACGCAGGTGAGTGTAACGTGCTGAGTTCCTTTGCAATCCATCCTGCAGCTTCCCAGGTGTCAAGTGCCCACCTTGATTTCTCCTGTTGACTTCAGTGTTCTCTCCATTGTTTCCATGGTGAGAATGTCAAGTGCTCCCTAAGGCTGGACAGAAGTGGGGGGAGGGAGGGAAGGAGGGAGAGAGGAAAAGAGAAATCACAGCCAACACACTCTTGGCTGATCCTCCTCTCCCTCCCTTCTGGTGCTGGACACACCATACCATCTGGGAAGGGACTGCTCTTGTGGGGTCCTTAGATGTGGGCACAGACCCACATCTAGCTGGTTTCCCTGTCATTCAGGAGCTGGCCTTTCCACCTCTGCTTGTGTCGCACTATCCAGCTGGCTGTCCTGGAGCCACCCTGCTTTGAGAGTGAACCTACACCATGGTTCCTCTGAGGACAGAGGGGCTCCTAAAGGCTCCCTGTGGAATCCACACTGGTCCCAGGCCCAGGACACATGGCTTCATACCTACTGGGAGGTCCTTGGCTTGTCTGTGGGGGCTGCTGGTGGCCTGGAGGTACGAGCTGGCACTGACACCACAGGTTGGCCATTCTGTACCTTGGACATCAGTATCTTCACATACAGACTAGGAGATGTGGGTGCCCTTGGGATCTGTTCCAATCCTAATGAATCATGGCTTCCTCATTCTCTCCCTGAATGATAACCAGAGACCTCAGAGCTCAGAGCAGGTCAGAAGAACCTTACCAGGTTCTCAAAACCTTACCAAGGTTCTTTGGGGGCTGATTCTGTATCGAGTGTGGTGCCTCCTCACTCAGTCCTCACAGGCTCCATCAGCTCTCCCACTGCTGGGACAAAATACCAGACACCCTCCAGTGAGAAGAGGAGAGGTTTGACCTGGCTCACGGTTTCAGTCCCTGGTTGGCTGCTCCAAGGCAAAGACATCATGGCAGAAGGATGTGGTGGAGCAAAGCTGTTCGCTTCATGGTGGGGGCAGGCAGAGCAGGGGAGGTGAGCCAGAGAAGGGGCCAGGGTTAAGGTATAGTCCCCAAGGTCCTGTCCCACAATGCACCCAGAAGTGTGCTGTACTGATCCCCAGGCAGCTCTCAGGCCAGTCCAGTTGGTCATTGGGACAGACTCTCACATTCCATTGGCAAGAAGGGAATGGAGATTCCAGGGACTGAGCTCTTGGGTATTGAGTGGCAAAGTGGCTGTGGAATCCACACTGTCCACATAGGAGGAATTACCTTATAGGAGGGATTACCTTACCTCTCTTTTTCCTCCTCATTGTTTATTTTCTCATGAAAATCAAATGAAAACATGGAGAGCTGGATGTTCCCCAGGCTCCCGGGCAGTAGGACAGGTATATTCCTAGTAAAGGTGCCAGGGGCAGGATTGGGCCCTCGGGGGCTGAGTTCTCAGAAACTGCACAGAGGCCCCTCGAGCAACAGAGGGGCACAGACCCACATCCAGCTGGCTTCTGTTCAGGTGGACACTACTAATTTTGAGGTCACAGGCCACCACGTCTTGGGATTTCTTTAGACCTCTGTTTCTTCCCTGGTGAAATGTGGGTAACAGTCAATTTCTCCTCATGGAGTATTAGGGGATGTAGGACAAAGGCCTCTGGGGACCCTCCTGAGTGTCAGCCCCACCCCAGACTCCATGATCAGGCTGGGCAGAAGCCCTGTACTTGACAAATATTTGCTCAAGCTGGGGGCCTGGGGGTGGTACCAGGGCTTTACATGTGGCTCACCTGGCTTGTTGCATCAGAATAAGAACGAATGCCTACAGTCATGGGAATGAAGGAGTCATCCGGAAATGCAGCCCACAGCTGGGCAGGAATGGTCTGCTGGCAAAGGCTGCCCATAAAGCAATGACCAGTCTGGTCTCATCGTGTGTCCCTTGCTGATCCACCCACTGGAAGGACTGTGCCAGGCCCCCAGGACTCTAGGCAGGGCTTTGCTTCCAGGCTTGGTGTGCGGCCTCCGGAATTCCCTTGGAAATCCAAGGGCAAAGACCACATTAACACGATAAGACGCTATTAAAGCCATTCCTTCCCTCTGGAAGCAGCTGCCCACCCCCCGCGTGCCCGCTGATAATGGCCACTGCTCATCAAATATTTATCCGAGCACTCACAGTCCTCCATCAGCCTCCAGCATCTTACCAGGCACGAAATCTGATTATTAAAACTGGTCAGGAGTGAAGCAGGCAGACTACAAAGTGCCCAGGATAGAAAGGGGGGGCATCAAAGCCCTGTATTCTTTCTTAAAGGTTGCCTTCCAGATGCAGAGGCCTCCTGTTGGGAACAGAACTGGAAGGACTTGGAGGACCTGGCCCTCTGCAAGTGTCCCGGACCCGGGCAGCTCTAGTTCCTTTCCTTCCTCTGCATCAGTGCAGAAGCAGCCAGGCCAAGCCCTGTGGCCATGATGTGACTCCAAGCTGCAGTTCATGCACAACTAATAGATGTCTCCTGGTTCAGGGGTGCGGCTTCCTTCTCATTCAAGGGAAGCCCTTGTGTCCTCTTTGAAGCCCACCCTTTGCAGAACAAAGAAGTGCAGAAGACACAGAACTAATTCTGAAGACTCCCTCCACAGGCACCCACATCTTGGAGGTATCACGAGTTCGGGTCCAGGCTGCTGCAGCGCAGTGAACACTGCCATAAAGCAAGCTGCATGAATTCTGTGGCTTCCCAGTGCACGTATTCATGCCATCCTGCAGTCTATTAAGTGTGCAACAGCATCGTGTTTTAAAAACCCTGTACGCACTGGAGTTAAAAAATACTTTATTGCCAAAAAATAGTAATGATCATCTGAGCTGCTGGGAAAATGCTGCTGGGAGACCTGCTCCACCAGGGCTGCTACAAATCCTCGATCTGGCGGTAAATCACAATACAGCAAGTGCACCTCAGCCACCACCAGCTGGACCTCGATGTCCCTCCGTGTGGCTGTGCCCGTTACCTGAGCACCAGAGCCTGTTGGGCAGAAAACCAGGCCCGGTGCTTAATGGATCCCAGGGACCACTTAACCATGCAGAGAGCCAAGGGAAAAGAGGGAGCGCTTGTTCTTTTCTCCTCTTCCCTTCCCCCAAATTAAAGACGAATGCATGCAGACACTTTCTCAGGAGTAACCCTTTATTTTCCACAAGCCCTATTAATCAGAAGACGTCTGATGCTGCAGCTTACAAAGAGCGTCTTTTCCTCTCTCTACAGACCCTGGAGCTGGTGTGGTGACGTCAAAAGCGGCCGTCCACGCCCAGCTGCCGCACTGCGGCCTCCTGGATGTCCTGGTGGATGTGGCTGACCTCCCTCTGGGACAGCGTCCGTTCCATGTGGCGGTAAGTGATGCGGTAACAGTGGCTGGTCCTGTGTGTCCTGGAGAGGGGACAGAACGCAAATGGGTGAGTACCTGTACTTGTGGGAGAGGGAATGCCTGCCAGGGTCAGATGCCCTCCACCAACCACAGCGGAGAACTGAGCTGGGAGCCAGGATTCCACCGCATCTCATTACAGAGCCATCCCTGCCAGGACGGCTGCGTCTTTCAACGCTTCAGGAGACAGTGACGATTAGGGCGTTTGTTTGAATAATCAAGACTGCTGGGTCCCATTGGGCCCGGTGCCTCCAAGTCCCCTGGGAAGGATACTTTTGACAGACCTGATTTCCTAGCTAAGCCCTCGAGAGTCTGATTCAGCAGCCGGGAGGTTTGACCACAGCTCAGGGCTTTCCCAGGCTCTCAGCTGACAATGACAGGCAGACAGGATGGGCACCAGTGGCAGCCTGCCTTTGTCTTTCCCAGGGCATAGAAAATAACCATGTTTGTAAGGCACACTCTCAGCGCCCCTGCCAGCCACGGGAGGCACATAGATGACTGCCACAGGAACTATGCATGTCACAGGCATTCTGTGCAGACAGACTTCAGCCTCAGCTTTACAGGGGTGACGCAGCCCCCCCCAGAAGAGCCGAGCAGTTCTGATAAGTGCAGAGACAGCAGCAGGGCCTACTACTGGCAAGGCAGGCTCTAAGCCACACCCTGTTTGATCTAAATCAGGCCAGGGAGCCAGAGCTCTCTCCAAGCTGCCTCTTTGGCTGAGTGGTTAAGGACTTGGCATGCCTTCTCTGGGCGCTTATTCTTCTTCTGTGTCATGAGAAGCCTTTTCAACTTCACAGCCACAGGAAGTATTCTTTTCCAGTCCCCTGCCAATAGGATTCACTCAGCCCTTCCCCTCACCTCTCAGAGATGGGGCAAAGCAAGTAGACCCCAAGCGGTCCCCTCTGGGACATCAGCCACTTCTGAGCCTGGCCAGGGACAGGCCACGCGGTCTTGGCCAGGTGAGGCAAAGCCTGGCCTTCTGTCACTCCAAGGCCTTGAACAAGTGGGCTGCAGGTGCGGTTGGCACCCGGGCCACCCCTCACACCTCCGAGAAGACCTGACTGTCCCCATCGTCGGGGGCTCCTAGTGCCTGGCGATGGCACTCTCTGGGGTCCCCTCTCGCCTTTCCCCCCACTCCATTCCTGTCTCAATGCCGGACACCGGCTGGGTAGAATTTGCCTGGGAAGTGAAGCATCTGCCTTGGTCCTGGCTGCTCAACATCTCCCGGGCTTCAGGGGCCCTTCTCTGCCCCAGCCTGGCGTGGTCACTGTGTCCTGCTGTAGCTCTCCCTCCTGCCCAGAGCCCACTTTTGGGGAGGATGAGTTCCTAAGATGCAGCCAGGTCTAGAGCCCGGGTATGCATGGAGCCACAGGAAGATGCCACGGGATCCCACAGGGACCCAGCTGGTGGGGAGGGCGTTCCCTAGCCAGACTCAGCTGCCTGCTCCCGGTGAGAGGACCTCTGCCTTCTTTCCCGGTAGAGCTGGTCATGAATAGAAGTCCTAGGTCTCCTCTGTCCTAAAGTGTGGTTACCATGACAACCACAGACACAAGGCCGCCTTCAGCTTGTCCTGGACAGATAAGAGGAAGGATGCCCCAAAGGAGGAAGGTGCCCTCAGCGACCCACCCTATAGTGGGATCAGAGCTCCTCTACACACCGCACTGCAGCTTTCTCAGCCCAAACCCTCACCGCTCCTTCCCTTCGCTCACCCCGTAACAGCAGCAGCGGCTTCTTCTCTCCTCAGCACAGTTCTAAGCCTTACACACATCAATTCACTTAAGCATCACAAACCCACTGTGTAAATAGCATGACTGTCCTTGCTAACAGTTAAGGAAACTGAGGCACAGAGAGCATAAGTAACTTGCCCAAGCTCACAGAGTTCACTGAGAGGCAGGACTGGATTTAAAGGCAAGAAATCTGGCGGGAAGCAGCTTATTGGGGACTCAATAAAGTCAAATACAGGATTACCTCATAGCCCAGCAACTCCTTAGCGGGGCTAAACTAAGCACTGAAAGCAGATGTTCAAACAAGAACTGGTATGGGGAATTTTACAGCAGTATGATATCTAATCACTAAAAGGTGGAAATGTCCACTAACAAATGAACAAAATGCGGTATAAACAAAATGTGGTATATCCATACGATGGAATGCTATTCAGCCATAAAAAGGAACAAAGTACTAGCATCTGGGTGGAAACTAACTACAGTGCAGATGAAGTTTAAAAACATGGTAAATGAAAGAAGCTGGAGACAATATTCACATATTACATGAAATGTCCAGAATAAGGAAATCTATAGAGATAGAAAGCAGATTGGTGGCTGCCGGAGGCTAGAAAGAGGAGAACAGGGAGGAACTGCTCAGAGGTTGTGGGGTTTGCTTTTGGGGTGAGGAAAATCTTGCAACTAGAGGGATGTGGTAGCCATGCAATTCATCAACATGTTAAAGGTTACTGAATTATACATTTTCAAGATGGTTAGTTTGATGTCATATGAATTTCACCTCCATAAAACAAAAACAGAAACACGAGCTAGGCAGTCTGGTTTTGGAGCCCGGCTGGTGACCGCCACACTCAGCAGCTCTGCCAAACACACATCTCCCAGCTCACACCTCCCTCTCTTGCTCCTACCCCATGCTGTGGTGTGGCTCTGGACTGTCACTCAAAGGTCAGTGTGTTCCTAGCTGGGCACTACTGGGAGGTGGTGGGAACTTTAAGCAGGGTACTGGTGGGAAGTCTTAGGTCACTAGGTGCGTACCTTGCAGAGGTCAAGGGGACCTCAGCCTCCTCTTAAGCATCTCTGGGGTACTGCACTCCCATCATGCCTTGTGCAGGCCCAGAACAGCAGAACCAGAATAAACCTCAATCCCGTCCCCAGACCAAGTGGCTCAGACATGGTAGGCAGTGCTGTGGATCTAGACTCCCAGCCCTTCTTACTTTCCGAGTCAGTGTCTTAAGTTGTCCAGACTGGCACTGCACTTGTGATCCTCCTACCTTAGCCTCCCAAGTAGCAGGAGCACAGGCATTTGCTACTGTGCCCAGCTAATGTTCTTCTTTTTACATTGATTTGTCTCAGGTATTTCTGACAGTATCTGAACGCTGACTACCACAGCCATCTCCCTCTGAGCAGTGACAAGGTTTGCAATCTACTGAGAGGACGACTTCTTTTAGTTCTTCTGTTCAAGAAAGAGACCCGACGGGCCCCTTGTTCCCTCTGACTCTACCCTCTGACTAGTGGGGGACAAGGCCGGGGATGATTGTGATGGGGACATGCTCCAGGTGGGACACAGTGGTTTATGGGTTAATGAAGGTCTTTCCTGCTTACAGGCTCATAAAATGTGGGCTGGGAGAAGAAGAGGGGTGAGAGGATAAGAACCCATGTGCAACGTGGGGGCCCGGGGCAGGCTGCAATTTAGTCCTCCACCAGGGGACTGGTGGTACTAAGCCACCCTCCACTCCAGGTAGACTCCACAGGGCCCAATCTGCAGACAAGAATCCACCCTGGAGGAGAGATGGGCTGCATGGGCTATCTGGAGTTTTACAGGCAAGTGGAAATTTCCTTTTATGAATTTCACAGCTTCTACTCTGGGCCAAAGAAACAAGACTGCCGACTTTGGGAGGTCAAATCTCATCATAATGAGACTGAAGAGAGATTCTCCTTATTATTTTTTTAAATTTTGGTGCTGGAATTTCATTGTTCAGTGTCCACCGGGACACTGGGTAATGCAGGTTGATCACTGGCTATGCTTGAGTTTGTAGAGAGATCCTGGTGTAGGAGTTTTAGCCTGTTGGAGCATTAAAGGGCTTTCCCTTCACCAGTGAAATCAGAGGTTCCATTAGTCACCCAGCAAGCAGTATATTCCAGAGCAGCAGGGATGAGCCCTGGGAAGATCCTGGCATCTGCCCCACCCGGCTCCCAACAGGGGCTGGCAGAAGGCAGGCAGTGAGGTCAGCCACGCCACACTGGGTATCGCCCTCAGGATGCCTGAGAAACGACTGCCCTCGGGTGCTTGTGGTGGGCACTGACATGCTGCTGTGTGCCCGGTATGATGTTGGGCACTGCGTAGCCACAGAAGAAACTCAGGTCATCCTGCTTGTGAAGAGGGGCTCCTTTGGGGAGGAGAACACAGGATGGTGACAGCCACACTCATACCTGCCATCCTGGCCGCTCTGAAGGAGCCTCAGTGAGTGCTTCCTCTACCTCCCACGTGGCCTAGAGAGGAGGCCTGGCTTGGGGAACTGCAGGCTCGACTCACGCTTTTCCTGGCACTCCCTTGCTTTTGGATTCTGTTCCCTGCTCCACGGTGCCTGCCCCAGTCCATGTAAGGCCACCATCATGGCTGAGCCCAGCGCTGAAGCACAGACCGCCAGCCTGGGTGATGGAGGCCACCCTGTGTGGGCTGCCGCGACAGCAGTGAAGCAGCGCGAGAGGTTCCCTGCATGCTTCCTCCTCCCAAACTAGACCTTCAGACCAAAGGCAAGGACTCAAAGCGCCGAGAACAGTCAAGTACGTGCCAACAAAGACTGTCAAAGCATAACTGCTTAAATGGGGTCCAGCAATCCCACGACTGGATGGGTGTCCAAGGAAATGATGTCAGTGTGTCGAAGAGACACCTGCATTCCCATGTCTGCTGTTCCCAGCAGCCAAGATACAGAGTCACCTGAGCGGCCCTCAGTGGATGAATGGGTAAAGACACACACACACTCAGCCTTGACAAAGGTAAGTTCTCTCACTGTTCAACACGGAGGAGTATGGAGGACGGACGGTAAGCGAAATGAGCCAGGCACAGAGAAACAGATACTGTATGCTCTATGCCGTACATGGAGTCTAAAGAAGCTGGGCTCATAGCAGGAAGAGTGGCCAGAGACCGCGGGTAGGACGGGAGGTGGAAGTGGTCCCCAGGTTAGAGCTACAGTCAGGCAGGAGGGGCAGGTTCGGGTGTCCTGTTGCACAGTGGGGCGATCATGGTCCACAGCACTGAATTAAATGTTTCAAAACGGCCAGAAGAC